CTTAACCATTTAAGCTATCTTTTCTCCTCCTCCTCTTCTGTCCTTTTCTCCCTTCTTCATTGGTGTTTATACATTGCTTTGTTTTGGGTTGCTTTGCCCTCCTACAAGGCCATTTTAGAAGCAATATCTTTCTTCCAAGTGCTGCAGGAAATGACTTGCTCATCAGGGAGCCTGAGACAGATGGTTTTTGTGGCTTTTTTTTTAAGTGGTTTTTGGAATGTTTAAAATGTTTGTTACAGCTTGTCCTGAGCGTTCGAGTTGTTAGGTGTTAATACTGCTGGCTAGTGGCCCCACAACTAGCTTTTCATTAACCATGTTTTTTTAGTAGGGGGGGAAGGAAGCAAAAATAATTGGTTCATATACATGGGGATAAAGCAGTTAAATACTTAATTGGGATGAAAGTACGTTCTTTTGGTTCATTTTAGAATTAATTGTGTTTATAGTTTTACATGAATCACTAATGGTAATGTTAAAGATATAGAAGTTTCTGACCGGTTCATACCAATTTTTCTAACTGAATGATTGCTATAAATTTTAAATATGAGGTTATCAGTGGGGCTTTGTTAGTCTCTGCTGATCGTTCTTGCACTTAGTTCTGGTGTTGCATCATTTTTTCCATTTGAGCCTTATGGCGTTCTAGAGGATTGACTTTGGTGCTGACACAAAGTAAATCTGGAAGATAGACTCCTGAGACTGCGCTCTTGCTAGTAATAAATATGAATTTCTGGGAAGAGTGCCAAACAGTCATTGGCAAAGAACTCATTTACATTTCTGAAGTTGCTTTCCAAAGAATTTTACTAACAGAAAAAATTATAATCTGTATTTACATGGAAACTTTATGCTGATATTTGGATTCATTCATTTCTAAACCTTACTCTCACTTGGAACTGTTTTAACATGTCTTGTTTGTTTTTTATTTTCCTCTTAAAGCCCAGAATTGTTTCAGTTGCCACAGCTGCATCTTCTCATTTTCAGTAGATGTTTTGGGAGTAAATAATCTCAGGGTGGATTCACACTGAATTGGAATGGACTCTTAATGCTGCAGTCTCTAACATAAATCACTCACTTTCAAGCTGCTCACTTCCTGGGTACTTCAAGGAGTAGCAACAACTGGTTGCAAAGCACGCAGAACTGTTTTGAAATTCGAATATTTAATCTCTTTATGATTATGTGATTTCAAAGTTAAATTGACCCATTAGAATTTATAATTGATGAAATTTTGTTAAGATTGCTCAAGAATTCCATGTCTTAGAGAGAGTTATGAGTTTGTCAAGTATTAGTTTTTCAACATCATCTTTATTACCAGGATTAGGTGCAAATGTAAATTGCAACGGAGTGAAACAAAGATGCTTCTGTAAAACTGGTGAGGGAGCACAGTAAAACCGAGAATTGCTCTTTAAGCAGAAGGTGAGGGAGCACAATATAAATTATAACTCTTGAGTCACAGGCTAGCAGCACTTTATCCAGTAATAGCTGACTTTCACCTCTCCTACAGGAGGAAGCTGGCTATTGCCTACCTTCCTTCTGAAGGTACAGCCCTATGTTGTGAAATAAACCACACAGGACCAAAGAAGTATATGCTTTTATAGACTGTTTCCACATTGTAGAGATCAGTAGTTTTCTTTGCCTTTCTAAAACCAGAAAGAGGAAGTATGGGGAAATGCCAGTCTTTTGGCCATGTGATGTGTGAATAATTGCTATTTGGTGTTGTAAAGAGGAAGTTAAGTGAAAGTCTGATTTTTAGAACACCAGTGCAACAATTTTTCCTCTGAGCTTTTTAGAATAAAATTTAAGCCACTAGAATCAACCTACCTGTGTCAGGGTCTATTTTTAGATGTTTTTTGTTTCTTTTTTTAAATCAAGACATATTTACTGAATAAATATGTTTTAAACTAAAATTGTGACAAAACCCCAAAGTAAATTATTTCTAATTCTTTTCTTAATAAGCAGAATGTCCTGCATCTTTCTTCTGAATGTACACACGATAGCAGCATTTGCTTTTCATGGGTATCCTGTCTGTCCAGTTCACACTTTCTGCTGGTAAGACTAAAGAAGTTATTTATTGTTTTTAACAAAACCTATCCTTCGTTTTCTGAACGCAATTTTTCTGCTGGTTTCTAGGTCATCCTGTTTTTAGATTAGGAAAGTGTGTGTGTTTTAGTGGGAGAGTTCCAAGTTTAACCTGCATTAAGAATGCAAGTGTAATAAAAGCTTTTCAGGTGTGTGTGCTAAGCAGTATGCCCTAAATGGGGAGATGAGGAGGGAAAATATTTGGGCTGTTTTACTAATAGAATCCCTGGGGGATTTATGAACGAATAATCTACTTTTTAACTTACAGTACATGAACTCTAAGTTGTACTCGTCTCGTACAAAATTAAATTTTGGAAGCAACTACAAAAACTGCCTAGTTTAGTTTAGCTCTTTTCAATATTGGTTACTCTGCTTTGTGTGAGAAACACAGATGTTGCCACAGCGATGTGGGAATTTAACAAGCCCTCTAGCTGTTCCAGTTTTACCCTTTTCATAGAAGCAGTTTATAATGCCTTTTAAAACTTAGTTGGTATGTTTCTGAATGCTCAACCAGCTGTTTCTGCTTTCCTTAACCACACTGTGTATCTGAAAACCTACTTAATCCCAACTAGTTGAGCACTTAACTAGATGCAGCAAGGAGTAGAAAACAACTTAAAACCAAGGGAGTGCCCTTGACTTTGTTCTGAATGTTCTGGAATCAGGGTGGTGCCTTTTTAAACACAACAGATGGATCTTTTGGGCTGTCTACAATCTCTGGCACTGAATTTCATTAGAGGAATGGAGCTAAGATTCTTAATACAAACCAGCTAGAAAACACTGGTGGCCTTGCTTTCTAATAGCTGTTTTTTGCCATGTGCTGGGAACCTTACTAGGATGTTACTGTCTGTACATCTGATTGTAGTGCAATTTACTGTATGTGGGAAATGCAAGTTTATATTTTTAGCAGCATTTGGTGCCCTTTATCTAACAGGAATATGAATCACTAGGAGGCTGTGTATCTGATTTGCTCTGCAAATGACAAGAACCACTGAAAGAAGTATACCATACAGTATTTGGAAGTGCTAATAAATACAGATTTTGGCTGAAATAGAATATGAATTCCAGGATTTTCTGAGGTCAAGGCAAGCTATTACCAGGACTGTCGTGTGGTTCATTGGTTAATGGGAGTGATTTAGTCTGGCATTCCTCCTGGACAGAGAAAATTTCTTGCCTTATACATCACTGCAGGCTCTGATACCACAGTGGAGGTGCAATCTCTAAGCACCAAAATAGACTAACGGATTACTAGAAGTTATCAGATAGTTAAACTACATTGTGCTGACGTGAGGAATAAAAAACTTGTATAATGCTGAACTAACTACCTAGAACAAAATCTAAAACAAAATACTCTTACAGTGGAAAGAGACTATAAAACAAATTTTGCATTTCTGTAGTGCCTATAACCTAGGGACATTAAAAAAGAAATAAGAAACTGGAGAGAACAAAGGGAGATAAGTGGAGCAAAGCAGACTTTCCTGCTCTGGAATGAGCCTGACTTTGCCTGCCTGGAACTGATGAGCAACACTCCTGTTTGCTCATTTGTGTTTCTTTTCCCACAGATGTGCCACTAACTGGTGCCACATTGCTATAACACACTCTTGCTAAATATGAAGTCTGTTAACATTACTGTGGTTTTGCTTTTCATTTTTAGCTGCTGTAAGCACTAAAATTGGATGTGAGAGTGAGTCTTCTCATTTAAAGAAAAGGAGTACTTGTGGCACCTACTCCTGTTCTTTTTGTGGATACAGACTGACATGGCTGCTACTCTGAAACTTCTCATTTAAAGAGGCTTACATCAAATGGACAGGAGGGCATGAAGATCTGTTTCATCCCTTTCCCAAATAGACACCATTTATGAAAGCAAAACATGACTTGTGTGTGTTCAGAAAGTACAGCAACTATATAGAAGTGTTCTTAAGATACATATATAATTGAATTATTAATACCTCTGGGCTTTGATTGGAAGGAGGGAGAAATGTATTGCATTAACCATTTGGAGTTGGAGCGATGGTGAAATACCTATTTCTATATCTACCGGTAGCTGTTCTGTTTGAAAAACTGGAAAAGAGAGAGCCCACAGTTATATCTGCTTGACGAAGGAGAAGTAAATGGGGGGAGGGGCCATCTAAATTAAACCAACTGGCCAGACTGGTTACTTGTCAACAGCAGATGAAAATTTTCATCAGTTGTACTGTGAAACTGGTGGCTGATCAGTTACTATTCGGAAGCTCTGAGGTATTGGGAATAGGAGCTGAGGGGTTTAAAAGACAAGCAGTAGTAATACACAGCTTGAGTAAATCCATTTCTTTCAAATATTATTTGGATTACAACTACATCCTTACTAAAAGCAAACTGAACTATGGAATGTTAGTTCTGTGCCCTCCTTCATAGGAATAAATTAAAAAATAAAATTGATTCATAAAAACATTGCCTAGAAAAGACTTTTCTGTCACAGCTCTATTAAGCTAATTGTTAATCTTATTGTTGGGACTTGGATCTGGACAACTGGTAAACAAATAACTAGACCGTACATTCTAGAACCAGTAGTTGTCTGACTGGAAAAAAGGAAGGCTTTACTCAGCAATATCCTGCTGCAGTTTAGTCATGAAATGAGGCCCCCTTTATGTAAATTTTTACTGGCGCCAGCTAGCTGTAACTGCAGTCAGGCTCAGCTTTGGCAGCAAATAACATCTGTCATGGACTTTCTGTTGCCTGGAATGTACAGACATTCTAATTTCTGGACTGAAAGAACAGGGTTGATGGATCTGAAAAGGTATAGAAAAGGCACCTAAACATAGGTAGGCTTTGAATGTGTGGAAATATTGAGGAGTTTTAGCTGGTTGCTTTTTTAGTGTTCTGCCTTGTGCTGTAACAAATTTATGCCTGTTGGTACTACTGTGTGGTATGTGGGAGGTACTTCACTGCACATAGTTGCTGCAGTGCTAATAGTTGGCAGCACAGAGAGCAGTACAAAGAATTCTGATTCTAGACACTTTCAGTTGCAACATTCATTTCGAGGCTGTAGTGTGCTTGTTTAGTGATCTTCAGTGATACCATCTCTTGATGTATTCACATGACTAAGTGGGAGATATGAGTACACTTTACTGAACAGACATGGATCACTAACTGAAAGGTAGTGCAATAGCCCACGCGCTGGCTAACCTACAGTATTCCTGCTTATGTGTAAATGAAACAAGATTTTATTCTCAAGATGGCCGACCTGGAAGTCTACTTGTAGCTTTGATATTTATGCAAATGAGCTAAATGCCTGTGGCTTATATAGAGGAGGAAGTTCATTTCACACATGTCAAGCATTCTCCAGGTAAGAGAAGCAACTCCTTCTTTGCCCTGATCTTTCAGAGGCCTGTCAACTTCCTTTTTTCACTTAAGTTCTTTTATTTTATTTTTATTTTTTGGCAAAATGCCAGGGACATTAGGCATAGTTTTGAGAATTACATGTAACAAATGTTTTTTTGGGAGCCTGGAAGTCAAGCTTCTTTTATTTTAATATAGTTTTTTATGTTTGGCTTATTTTTGCTGCAAGGAGAGTAGTTTGCAGTTGCCATAAAATGCTTTCATTGTGGAGTTGAACTGAAGGCTTTAAAATATCCCAGAAAACACCCAGATGTCACTTTTACTCTTTTGTGTGTGCTTCAAGAGTGTGTGTGTGTATATATATATATATTTTTAATTATTTTGTTAGCACTTTGCTTTCTCTCTACAGTGACACCAACTGATGCATGTGGAGGCATGACATTGTTGCGAACTTTCTCCCCTTTATAGGGAGTAGAATTCAGAAACTTAAATCTGCTAGTGATGTTTTTTAACTTGCTGGATGTTAGGATGGTACAATTATACCTCTTATCTTTAAAAACAAACTGCTTCTGGTTTAAATTCTCTTCTATAGGTGCTGGCAAACTGATGTTTAAAATATTGTACTCTAAACTGTCATCTGTGAATGTCATGTACACATGTGAGTTTGTATCAGTCCCAAATGAAAGCACTGTATGTGTATTTGGAAATAGGCAAAGTAAACAAATTATAATAGGATGTTTGCTTTCTATCTTTCTCCCCATCAGTGGTGTTGACAAAAGAAACTAGCTGCTATACACCAAACATGTTTTAACGGTCAGAAATATTATTAATTGCAATTTATACTGTGTATGGATGCACCTGTAGAACTCTTAGCATCTCTTTACTGTGTATGTAAGAGCTGTATTTGGCAGATATGTGCCAGTTCTGTGTGTGAATACGCTCATGTTGCCTCTTGCCTAATGAAACGGTAGTGCTGAAGAAGGTTTCAAGCTGTGCCAGAGATAGGGAGGGTAGGGAGTATGACCAAGGAACATGAACAGGGCTAGGAAAAAGAGGTGAGAAGGAATTGAGGACACTAAGGGAGGTGAACAGGGCCAAAGAAAACAAGGGAAGGGGTTGCTTAAAGGAATAGACCAGCAATTGAAAAAGAGACCGGGAAGAATGGAACTGGTCAAGGGAGCTGATCAGGACAAAGAAAGAAAGTCAGGGGGAGCTCAGTTAAACTGAATGAAATTGGAGGGAGTTGGGAGAAGGCTTACCAGCTGCATTCCGCAAGTAACAGGATGGAGTAGAATGAAGAAAATTGGAGGGCAGTGACTAGATATGACAGGACAGTTCTGAAGTACGGTGTTAGTAGAGACCAGGAAAGAAGATACAGTCATGCTAGAAGGGTGCATTAGAGCTGGATAACAACAAGGAGGGGAAAATTAGCTCAGAGAAATTAATAAAACTGAGAACTTGAAAGTGGGGGAAGATGAATAATGAAATATACTCCTGGGGGGACAGGGGAAGGAAGAAAGTTCTGAACATCAACATTTTGGACTAATTGTAGATTGTATTTTATATACTTCACCACCAAAATCTGCACCAATTTTTCTTACTAAAAAGAAAAGATTTTATTATGGGCCATAGGTTTGCTTGCCTTCTGTTATTTCAAAAACTTCTCAGTTTGTAATTGTTAGGATAAAAATGTATTAGAATAGTAGAATGACTCCATAATCTCAACGTTGGGAGTTCTTAAGTTTTAGTTGAACAAAGAGGCACAGTTGAGAAAAGAACACAGCTTTGGCTGACAGCACTTTCTGGTTCATTGGTAAAGTGAAGGGAGCAATTTAGAAATAATAAAGCACTATATAACAAATGGATTGGGCAGGGGTGGGGGCAGGAAGGAAAGTATATATGAATCAATATGAATTAAAAGTTATGAAGTGTAGAAAATTGATAAGGGAAGTTAGACATCAGGGAGAAATTCATGGCTGGCAGGGCTAAGTATATTAGGAACAAAATAAATCCTAGCAATGGTTTAGACCTGTTACTAGATGAAGATGGTAAATGATGCAGAAAGTTCAGTAGTGTTCAATAAATATTTCTGTTCTGTATGTGGACAGAAACTTAGTGACGTATTCATATCACATATGTTGAAGTGCTTTGCAGTCCATTAGTCACTGAGGATGTTAAACAGCATCTAACAGAGATTTTTAAAGGCATGAGGAACTTGCACTCAAGAGTTCTTGAGAGTTGGCTGAGGAGATCTTTGGCCCACTGAGAACTTTCAGTGCATCTTGGAATACCAGAGGAAGACTGGAAGAGTTCTGGAAGAGTGTTGTGGCAATATTCAAAAAGGGCATGCAAGCTGACATAGTAACTGTATGCCAGTTAGCCTGACAGTCCCAGGCAAAATAATGGAGAATCTGATACGGGATTCGGTAGATAAAGAATTAAATGATAGCAATATAATTAATGTTAAGTCAACATAGTTTTATGGAAAATAGGTCTTGTCAAACAAACCTGATTGTGTTCTTTGAAATTACAAATTTGGTTGATATAGGTCACTGCCTAGATGTAATAGACTTATGTGAGGTGTTTAACTTAGTACTGCATGATTAAAACATTAATACGATATCCTATAAATACTTCACACATTTAAGTAGAGTAGGAGAGCTGAAAAAATAGTAGTCAATAGGAAATTATAATTGAATGGGTGTGTTTCTAGTGAGATTCCTCAGGGATTGGTTTTAAGGCATGTCTCCAACGTTTTCAGCAATGATCTGGAAGTAAATGTAAAAAAATCACTGCTGATTTAAAATTTGCAGATGACACAAAGATTAATGGAGTGATAAATAATGAGGAGGACAGGGCAGTCATACAGATTGAATTTGGCTGTACTGACATGCATTTTGTTTGAACGGGCCCAGTTTATCAAGCAGAGGTATACATCTAGGAACAAGGAATGCAGGTCATACATATGGAGTGCGGCGGCACTGTATCCTGGAAAGCAATGACTTCAGAAAGGATTTGGGATTCATAGTGGACAGACAATTCAGCTTGAGCTCCCAGTATGATGCTGTGGCAAAAAAGGCTAATGAGATCCTTGAATGTATAAATAAGGGACTAGAGAAGTGATTTTACCTCTGAATATAGCATGGGTAAGACTGATGCTGTAATATTGTGTCCAGTTTTGGAGTCCACATTTGAAAAAGGATGTTGGAAAAATTGGAGAGGGTGCAGAAAAGAGCTACAAAAATGATTCAAGATTAGAGAAAATGCCTTACAGATTGATCCCTTTTATCAAAAAGAAGATTGAGATGTGACTTGATTAGCATTTAAGTGCCTTCCCAAGGAGAAAATACCAGGTGTGAAAGGAGTCTTTTAATATATCTGAGAAAGATATAACAAAAACCAATGGCTGGAAGCTTAAGCCAGGCTAATTCAGTTTAGAAATAAAACATAAATTCGACGAGGGTGATTAACCATTGGGGCAAATTGCCAGGGGAAGCAGTAGATTCTGTGTCTCTTGGTTTGAAGACATCAAGACTGGATGCCTTTCTGGAAAGTATGTTTGTGACAGACAAGTTATTGGGCTCAATAAAAGGCTAACTGGGTGAAATTCAGTGGTCTGTGTTATGCAGGAGTTCCGTCTAGATCAGTGGTTCTCAACCCGTGGCCCAGTCAGCATACAGCTGTGGCCCATGTGCCATCCTCAGGGCCATTCAGGTAGTATAGCTATTGTGTGGATGTAACCCCTTACTTGCGCAATTATACTCCCACACACACAATACGTTCATGCTAGCAGGCTGCAGATGCTGATTTCGATTTCATAGGTGGCTGAGGGTGATCTGGCGACAGCTGCCCAGATATCGGATACTAGGCGACGAGAGTCCCCGAAGTCCCTTCAGATCCGCGGGAGGGCTCTACTGCTTCTGGTCTGGTCCTGAGTTTAGCGTGCTGTTACATTTCCTTGTTCATGACCTACCTGGCCGCCAATCTCGAGATTTATACTCTCACCAAGATAATACCATGGTTCCATAAAAGGCGATATTTGCCTCTTTGTTTTGCCATTGACTGTCACTCACTCACACTATCTCACTCATTCCTTACATTAATTGATTACATATTCATAAGCATGAATACAATTGATCATTTAGAGCAATGCAGCTTTAAGCAAGTATCTAACATCATTGGGTAGCTTCCGCTGCTTGTGGCTTTGTAACAGCGTAACAGGAAACAGTGCAGACTGCATTTGAAAGAGCGAATGGGGGCGGAGGAGAGTCTGGCTGCAGGAATCATCAAGATAATGGTAAATGCTGAGGGGAAAAGAAGATGTCCCATACTTGGGGGGGAAAATGGCTGACTCAGAAAAACAAATTGAATTTGAAGGTGTTCTTATTCATTATGAGATACAGGAGTTGGGTCTCCCTCTCCTAGTGTTTTAGACTTGAACAGCCCTTATTGGAATCCTAATTTCTCAATAGTGTGTCTTTCTGTGAATCCAGTTCATCTTCAGAACTTGCCAGTTCTGGGCTTGCTGTCCTCAGAAGAAAACCTTGACAACCTTTGGTAAAATGTTTTGTGAAGCATTAACACCATGTCTCCTTATTGGCAGCTGTGGCCATTGCACAGCGTGTGCTCAGAAATTCCTTCTCCAACAGCCCTTGAGCTTCCATATGGGGGGAGATAGACAAACTGATTTTTGTCCTTCTATTTTTTTTTCCTTTAACCCAGCTTTCTATTTCCTTTATACTGAGGATTCTTTCACCCTTGGTAGATGTAATTGCTGGTTAAGCCATCCCACTATACCAGTGGCAGCCACATCATGCAAATCTTCCCTACCTGTTTCCTGTGATATGGAAAAAACAATACACTCTGCCAGTGTACTTTGAAGATATTTTGACAGGTATTAAAAGAACTTCTTGGCTGGGTAGATTATCGACTTGCATTTGAGCTTGAATAGTTCTCAACTGGGAGCTGCAAGAGAAGTTGTCAGAAGGATCAGTAGGCATGAAAAGT